GTAGACCAATTAGTAATAAGGCTTAACAGTTTAAGGGAGGGAACCAGAATATACTTACACTTGACAGAATGAAGAGGAAAGCAAAACAGTCTCAACAGAGCCCTTATTTTTTAAGAAATTAAATCTTCCTTTTACAAAACAGCCTTTAAGATTTTTGAGCTTCCTGAATGAGGTAATTTTATCATGGTTTTGATGGATACAAAATCACTAATTTCTTTTTATCTATAAGGTTGTACCAACACTCAATAAAACAGAGGTACTATAATACACTAAGTTATGCTTTGATTTTTAAAATTAATACTATGAAAAATTGCCCTTTTTCCCTGAAAACTGTTCTAGTCTTCCTTCTCTTACATGTTACTTAGGACCACCCCTTTACGATGTATATATTATCAGACTTTCTTTTCCAGCAAGATGGTGGATCACAATTTTTAAACATAACAATAATACCTAGAAACACCTACATAAAGAAAGAAAAATGTTCAGGATCCAGAAATAAGGACGGAACTGAAAGTCAGAATGGCATGGCTCTGAGGTGAAGCTGCTGCATTGCCTTTTCAGTTCATGAAAGTGGACTCTTGTTTTATCACATATAAGGCAAGATCTTGAGCCCAAATGAGTAAAGGGATTGCTCCCACATTAGATAAAGGCATGGCTTTTCACGAGTTTAATTCTCGGTAAAAAGGTGAATGAGAAAAATCCACCCAAGCACAGAGAGATTGATAAGAAATCTAGCATTTCTCTGGCTGGTGTCTGGCTGAAAAAAGAAGATTTTTTCCCTTGAGAAATGGAAACCCTTGGACTGAGACTTACATTAGTTTGAGGTCTGATTTTAAAGTACCTGTAAGTTTCTGGATGGCTTATTCATTTGGGGTCTGTGAAAGAAGAAAACTCAATACTGCATGCAAAGAACATTCTTTCAACACAGGATTGTCTTGGAGGAAGGGGATTGGAGGGAAAGAAAACCCTTATCCTAATAAGGATAAGCTCATTATAAATGTGTCCTAAAACACAAGAATATAGAAAAGATAGGCAGAAGTTACAACAAACAAGAGAATCAGGTGTCACAAATTTGATAATAGAAAAATGATCTTTATGTAATTTACCATGTATATGTTTATAATAATTAAAGATATAAAGGAAGAAATCCAAACCTTAAGAAAAGAATTACACTCTATGTTAGTCAATGTCAGTAATCAATGCTAGCTGCAATAACAAATTAGCAAATAGGAAGTACTCAATGCTAGCTTCAGTATCAAACAATCCCCAAATCTCAGTGACCTTACACAACAAAAGATACTTCTCATTCATACCAGAGTGTGATCAGGAGTTTAGTGGTGCCTTTGCATGTGCTACATAAGGATTCTTGGCACCTTCCATCTTGTGGTATTACCATTTTCTAAAGTCTTCTCATAAGGACTGAGCCATACATCAAGCAGGAAGAGAGTAAGAAGTATCTCAGGAAATGTTTTAGGAGCATAAAGGTGGGATACAACACACTCCCCACATGCTATTTTCCAAAACACCATCACAAAATACCAGCCAACCTGCGAAGGAGTATGGGAAACATAGGAAATGGAAAACAGGACTGGTGAACATCTGGTCAATCTCTACCTAAATATAAAAATTTGAAACAATTCTAATTAGAAATTGTAGAAATATATTAAGACATATATTCTTCTATTTCATGTAAATAGGTAGATGACAGAGAAATATATAGATTGCCCATGTTGTCCAGGCACTGTTCTAGTTGGTGGAGATAGAGGGAGTGAAGAAAAACCCGGTGTTCCTGCCACTGGAGAACTTACAAACCCTATGTTTGGAAACATACAATAAGCACATAAATGATTAGTGAGAGAATTGTCAAGTGCTATTAAAGATGAAAAGATGCACAGAGGTGAGGGTTGCTATATTAGGTAGGGTGTTCAGGAAAGTCCCTCCCAAACTTGACCTTAGAAGATGAAATTTTCAGAGACCTTAACCTTCTTGTTGCTAAGTTCAATATTTATTTGTTAATAATTCATCTTGTTTGATCTGTTAGGAGCATTTGGATCTGTTGCTCATTCTCTCATTTTTTAAAAACTCGCTTTACTTGGCTTCCAGGGCGTCACCCTCTACTGTGTTTTTCCTACCTCACTGTTTCTTATTGCTGCTGTAAGAAAACACCACAAACTCAGTTATTTAAAACAGTACAAGTGTATTATTTTGCAATTCTGGAGGTCAGAAATCCAAAATGGGTCTCACTGAGCTAACAAGTGTCAGCAGGGCTGCATTCCTTTCTGGAGGTTCAAGGAGAGAATCCATTTCTTTGCCCTTTCCAACCTCTTGAAGCTGCCCACCTTCCTCAGCTTGTGGTCTCCTTCCTCTGTCTTCAAAATCAGAAGTTCTGCATTTTTCTGTCTAGTCTTCAGGAGTCACATCTCCCTCAGACATCTTCTGTCTCCTTCTTCCAGTTTTGAGGACGCTTATGATTCCTCTGAACCCACCCAGATAATCTGGGATAATCTCCCCACCTCAAGGTACTTAACTTAAAGATATCTACAAACTCTCTTTTACCATGGAAGGTAACATATCCACTGGTTCTGGGGATAAAGATATGGACATATGGACATATTTGAGGGACCATTATTCTGTCTGCCACACTCACTGACTGTTTTTCTCAGTTTTTTGGGTTTTTTCTTCTCTTTTAATATGGAGTACTAGGGCAGATATGTAGCTGTACTGATGAATAGAATATTGAAATGTTTTTATATTGATTCGTGAGTAGCCTTAACAATAACCTCACCAATAACCCTGATCCCCAGTCTTTTCTGATTCTTGCCCTGGGTCCCTGACCCACCCTGAGGACCTTACATCCCCGACCCTACTACTTAAAGTAAAGAATAAATGTCTGGTGGAGCTGGTGGCTTTGAAGACCCTGATCCAGGATCATGGACAGCATCTGTTTAGACCAGTCAATGCTCATTCCTTCCCAGTTGTTAGGCATTTTGAATAGCACCCGTGGGACTGCCTTTTTATGTATGATCATTTTCTTGGTGATTTCACCAAATCTTAAGAGTTTAGATATCATTGAAATGCTAATGGCTCTCAAATTTTCACTTTTAGTCTATTTCTTTCTTCCAAACGTCAGAATTCTATATCTAACTACGTATTTAACATCTCCATGAATGTATGATAAACATCTAAAACACAACTCATTCAAAAGTGAAATGTTGCTTTATTGCCTACCTCAGTTTTGTCCCATCCCATAATCTTCTGTCTTTCAGGCAATATCAACTCAATATCTACTTGTTCTGCCTTTAAAATATACACAATGGACTATTTCTTGCCTCCTCTACTGTTACCAACCTGGTCCAAACCACCGCCAGCTCTCACCTGTTGTTTCAATGCCTTCTAAGTTGTCGCCCTTGTCTTTTCTGACCATAGCAACAAAAGTGATTATAAAATTTCAGTTATGTCATGTTATATCCCTGCTCAAAACCCTCCTTTGGTTTCCTGTCTCACTCAGACTAAAGACCCATGTGCTTCCCTTTTTTAGATCACCTTTATTATCTTTGCCCCTCCTGTTACCTCTCTGAAATCATCTCTTTTTAACCCCCTCTTCAGCCTCACTGATCTCATTATTCTTCAAATTAGCTAGGATGCTCTTTGCATCTGGCATACTATTCCTTGTTCGTGGAACATTCTTCCCACAGGTATCCACATAGCTTGATTCTTTATTTTCTTTCACTATTTACTTAAATAGAACCCTATTATAGACACTTTCCATTAACTACTGTATTAAAAATTGTGCAACTTAACTCTTCAGGTCCCCTTTCCTCTTTTATATTTCCCTTTAGCATTTTTCACTTTATAATATACCATTTATTTTACTCAATTTATGCGGTTTATTTTGTATCTCCACTGCTAGAGTATGAACTCAATAAGGGTAGAGATTTTAGTCTGGTTTGTTCACTGCTTATCCCGGGGTCTAGAGCAGGCTTCCAGCCTCACAAGTAGCTAAAAACTTGAATAATTAAGAAGATGCCTTTTTTAGATTTCACAATTCATAAAAATGTAGAAAAAGCAAAAGAGGTTTAGAGATAGGAAAACACCAGTATACTCACAGTGAGAGTATAAAGTAAGTCCAGCTTTTCTGCAGAAAATTACTCAAAATATGTCACAGACTTTAAACCTGCATATATTTTGATTCAGTAAGTCTCCTTATTAAAATCTATCCTAAGGAAATAGTAATGTATGCAAAGATTTGGCAACAAGGATAGCCATCACAGTCTTGTTTATAATTGTGAAAAATTTTTTAAATCAAAACCCTCAAATTTCCAAATATAGAAACTTAGTTAAATGAAAGACAATATATCATACAATGGAAGATTATGCAATCATTCAATTAGTATTTAAACACTTATTAGCATGGGAACTATCAACAATGTACTGATAAGTGGAAAAAAGCAATCTGTAAAAGAGAATATGATGAATGATGTCGTTTTTGAGGAAAGATGTATATCCTTGTACAGTGATCTGAGAGGATGGATAATTTTTAACAATGTGGTTTCTAGAATGAGGTGAGAGTATGCCTTTCTTATTTACCTGACTTGTATTTTTTAATTTTCTTTTAAAATGATGATCATATAGCACTTTTATATTTGGGAACATCCAAGTTATATTTTCACTGATCTTCAAAAAGCAATCACTATTATACATGTAAAGGATTTTCGTTGGGTATGGTTTGTATATAAATATTCCCCTTCGTGGCTTCTTCTGTGTTTATGATGAATGTCCTGCCTTAATAAGTAGGGGCTAATGCTCAAAATTTGCTTACAGAATAATCTCTGGGGTATTTCTGTCCTTAGAACCTTAACACGTGGAAGGTGTCCATCCACTGTATTGAAAAATATGTTTAACATAATTGCTAATCAGATAATTAAATTTACATCATGAAATTAATCCAGTGTTTTACCTCAGAGATCTGAATGAAAACCACCTCCCCCCTCTGTCTCTAGTCAGTTCCCTTTTGGCAGTAATGTGCAACCCAGTGAACAGAAGAAGGGGAAATTTCCAATCTGGCCAGAATGGAGCGAGGCAGACATAAATGCTGAAAAGTGGGATGCAGGCAAAGGTGCAAAAGAAAAGGACAAAACAGGGAAAAGCCCTGTACTTGTAAGTAGACTTGACTATGACTAGATTTCATTTTGGTGTTTAATCGTATAATGGAATAGGATTTGTTAACGTGTGCACGTGCTCCCTCTTCTCCACAGCCTCCACTCAAAAGAGAAATTTTGTCTTTCTCTGCCATGCCTCCCCCCATCCTACCTTGTCTTTCCAAGCCTTAGTCCTGAGCTTTGGTGAATCACATTTGAGTAAATGGGAGGAGAGAAATGACCAAAGAGTCATAATGAAAAAAAGGGAAAACTGATAGAACAGGCTAGCAAGTGGATTTTGAACAGAATTGGGAACCAGACATTTAGAGATGGTGGTTTAGAAAACGAGAGCCCCCCACGAAACTGTGAGCTGTTATTTGGAGATTACAGGCAAGATGAATTTTTAAGAGATGTTACTATAAGAATTGAATCCTTCTTAATATCTTCCCCCCAAGGTATTTGGGTAAAAATCTAGGTTACTCTTCATTTACCTGTAGCTTTTAAACATGCTGTGTCCCTGAGATTGGAGCTGAGAATGGGGTTGCTACATTTTCCAGTTATATTATTTTAGGTTCTTTTGCTTACTTAAAAATGTCTTTCTTCTAAAAACTTCTTTATAGAAGGTACTGGTCTGGGTTGCATTTTAAATATGACCCATTTATTTGGTGCAGTAATTCATTCAACAAAAGTACTTTTAAAACACAATACATGCAGAGGGAGGGGATATAGGGATATATGTATACGTATAGCTGATTCACTCTGTTATACAGCAGAAACAAACACACCATTGTAAAGTAATTATACTTCAAAAAAGATATTAAAAAAGAAAACACAATACAGTTTTCAAAACACAAACAAAATTACCATAATGACTAGGTTGAACTCTAGTGTCTTTATTTGCATAAAGCACTCTGAAATGGTACTTATTAGCATTTACATTTTGTTCACAAAATGCAGTCACCAACTGCATGATTCATATCAGTAATTTGTTTACAAAAGATACTCAATAATTATAACTAATTACTGACACTGTTAGTATTTGAACAATTTCAAATAACAATATGTGAGGGAGTGCATTCTTTGTACCATGCCTAAGGTGATTATGGAACTTCTAGATGCAAAGGACTTTTGAACTCTCTGGGTTCAAATGAAAATGGTCATATTCTACATATTTTATAGAAATTCAGATCTTATGGGGATTGTCTGTGAATTTTCATCAGCAAGATAGATTGTGTAAATCCTCAGTTGAGCAGCTGAGCTCTGGAAAAGATCCAGAGATGAGTCACTCCAAATTGTGAAGGATCAACGGGGAAGGGAAAAGCAGAAGTACCTGAAAACTTTGAAATAAGAAATAGCATATAAAACAACATTTTGAGGACCTTAGAATGCAAACATATCTTTATTAGATGACTATGAAAAATTCTTACAGATCTCTGGAAGGTCAGGTATCAAATTCTTGAACTTAATGTTACTGAAACAAGGGCAAGTCTGTTGGAAGAACATTTGTTGGAGGAAAACCATTGAGACTGGAGCAGTAATAAGTGCGCTGGTCAAATGGACAGTTGATGTCCATTTCATTTGGGGTCAACATATAGGACTATTGCTGGCTGATGTATAAAACTGCATGATTTTGGAAACACTAGCCCTACTTCTGCTGTGAACAGGGGCTATTCCAATAGGGGGTGACGCTTCAGAACCTTAACTAACACCCCATTCTGCCACCGCAGCTTTCACAAGGTAGGAGAGCACAGCTCAAGTCCTGGTTATTGCGACGGTGCAGAGTGGTGCCATCTGGGATAGAAACTTGCTTTCCACCCCCAGTTCTGTTCCACAACCTCAGCATTCATAGCTCAGGAAGCAATAGTTTCCCCACTGGAGTGAGTCATGGACCCTCCAAGCACTGTGACTGCATTTCTATGATATGGTGGCACATTAGCTCTGAGCCATGATTTGCAGCATCCATATTTTACCAGGATAAATTGCCTTAAGCATGCAACCATGGCAGTTATCCTTGGAATTTTACAAAGGCCACTTCTTTAGATGTGAGGCTAGTGATCAGGAAATCAGCCTCAGATGCCCAACCCTCCCCTATAAGTCCAGCATTATGTCTCACTTCCTCAGCAAGAAAAGGATATGATGGGTGAACCAAATTAAGAAGTATACGATAAAGTACTGTAAGGTGGATGTAAGAAATATACCTAAAGCAAAATGACATGGAAGGATTAGCATTAACAATATGAGGGGCTCAAATCCTGGAGAAAAGGGAATCACAATGGGATGAGCCCCACTATTTTTTTCCTCAAAGACATTTATTAATTCAAGGCATGGCAATTAGAAAGCAAGCACAGTGTAGTGGCCTGGGGCTTATGTCAGTTTTTCTGGGCTGAAGGGAAGGAGGATATTGTCTGGGACTGCCAAAGCAGCCAGAACTTGAACCCAGATCTCACAGGTAACTACAGAGAAGTGATCTGTAAATTTTGCGTACAATTTTATTTTGAGACATTTGTCTACCTCCTAAGCTGTGAGTGTGAAGCTTTTGCTGCTGAGCAAATGAGTAAAAAGCAGCAGCCTGGAAGCTTAATAATTGAGAAAAGATTTCAAGATGATAGGTAGAGAATGGGATTCAATGTACACCAAGTGAAGGGACCTTGCTAAACACTCCAGACTTTTAGTTAGTGCCTCAACATGGCTACAGAATTCCACATTGAGTAAGAACAAACCAAAATCACACCAGTCCTGCCAAATCCTAAGACCCAGTGTTGATTAGGTCAAATTCATCTTGTGCTCTGCCTGTCAAAAGGGAATAAAATCCTCCTCTCTGGATGAAGACATCATCACTTAGAACGTGTATAAATTTTTATATCCAGCATATATCATACAGTCAAAATTTACCAGACATGAAGAGAAACGGAACCAAGTGACTAAAAATCAAGAGGAAAAATCAGATAATAGAAACAGATCCAAAGGAGACTCTTTTGGAATTGTCAGATAGGGGACTTTAAAATTACTAAACTAATATTTGCAGGGAAAAAAGCAATGTGAGAGAAACCCAGAAGTCTAGTACAGCTCCTGAAAAAACATCAGTTTGTCTTTTAAGGACTCATTCTTCTATCATTTTGACTAGATGGTAGGGTGCCTTTATCGTCATTTGAATTATTCCAGTATCTTAAATTTGACAATAAACCACATGCTCCAGATATACATAGACACTTATTATGTTTAACGCTCAGACAATGCCCTAAAATATAACATTTCTCAAGCCACACCAGCATTAGGGTAAACATATAATTATGATGAAAATCACAAAACAGTATATTTTCCCCTGTGCCTATTAACTGAGGTGAAATTTAATTACGTTTCTTTTTCCCATACAGATAGTTTGTGTTCCTTTAGCATTTTGTTTGTAATCCTAGAAATTGTCATGTTATTTCTTGTAAAGATCCCCCCATCCCCTACCATTTTATGAGCTATGAGAATTTTTACATAGCAGCTACCTGAAGTCTCTCTGACTTGCTAGACTGCTTGCATATGGATATCATTCTTTCTCCAGAACTCACTAATTGACCCATAGTTGGGGCTTAAAAATTAAAGAATTAATTGCATTCTTGAGCATTTATCCCAGAAAAATGGAAATTCACATTCACACAAAAACCAGTAACCTATACACAAATGTTCATAGCAGCTTTATTAGTAATAGCCTCAAACTGGAAACAGCCCAGATGGCCTTCGATGGGCAGGTGGTAAACAAACAAATATCCATAGCATGAAATATTACTCAGCAATAAACAACAAACTACTGATACATGCAACAACTTGAATAGATTGAATCTCCAGGGAATTAGGCAGAGAGAGAAATAAAGCCAATCCAAAGGTTTATAGACTATATGGTGGGTTCCATTCATATAACATTACTGAAATGACAAAATTATAAACATCAAGACTAGCGATTGCCAAGTGGTAGGGATTAAGCACAGACTGGGGAGTTGGAAGGTGGGTGTGGCTATAAAAGGGCATAAGAAGGATCCTTGTGCTGATGGAAATGTTCTGTATATCTTGGCTGTGTCAGTGTCAATATCCTGGTTGTGTTCTATAGCTTTGCAAGATGGTACTGCTGAAGAAATTGGGTAGAGAACATAGGAACTCTCTGTATTATTTCATGCAATGGCTTATGAATCATGATTATCTCAAAATAACAAGTTTAATTAAAACAATAAATGAAAGTCAGATCAAAGGTACAGATTTCATTTACATATCATCTTTTTTATGATTCTAACTGAAAAATAAGTAAATACTTTTCAATCTTCCCTGCTCAGATTAAAAAAAAACATTTTCAATGGAAAATGTGGCCATATCTGGCCCATCCAAAATTGTTTCCCCACCATACCTAATTCACATTCCCAAGCCACTCATGCTTGTTTGGATTGCTTCCTCTGCAATCAAACTGCTACTCAGTAATCGAGGTTTCATTAATTAAATACAGTATTGTTAACTTCAGTATTCTCCAAGTACTGCATGAACTCGCTCTGAGAACAAACACACAAATTACTCTAAAAATGCTTATTTATTGATCAGATCAATGCACGTATTTGTTTTTATTAGATAGAGTTGTTTTTGTTTTAATAAAACTATATGGAGAAAATACTTAATACATTTTTTATATAGCATTTTTTTGAAGACCCTGAAGGAAAGATTGAATTACCACCATCATTGAAAATTTATTCCTGGAAACGTCCACAGGATTTTTTAATTAATCAGGTAAGAGATATTTTTACTATTATAATACGTATTAACTATGAGATATAATATCCTAGTTATGAAAATTTGCATTTTAAAAGCTGTTTAGGGTAATTTTTTCTTGGTATTTAGTAAGAAAAAGTAATTACTTTTTGGACTTTAAATTAGAAATAAATATTTATCGATATAGTTTATACTGGTTTCCAAGAGAATAATGAAATTTTGTTCAGGATCTCAAGTTTCCTTCTCTTCATGATGTCAAATTTTAACCTAAAATGTTGCAAAAAGTTATTCCTTAATTTCTGACAGACTTTCTCCTTTCTGCTTCTTACATGGTGTAGGTCTGTTTACTCTAGTGTTAATAAGCATTTATTTTCAAGCCCAAGAGATCTGCACTTGAATCTCTCTATTCCAGGAATTCTTGAATCATTTTCCAAGCGCCACTTTCATTTCTGAACCCCATGTGAATCACACTGACATGGACATCACCCGAGAAAACTTCATTTTAAATAGCACTTACGTACATTAAACTTTAGACCTACTGGTCTATCTTCCTAATTAATAGCTATGTTAGTTTGAATACATTTGGTATTTACAAGGGTTTAATTATCACTAATGCCTTTTTTCCCTTCTTGAATCTCCCATTTTCATTTAATGCATAGAAAACCAGTAGACTAAATTAGTTATTTAATGCTAGTCAAAAGGTTATAATGAAGCTGGTTCTTCTGTAATCATGGAATTCACTGCATCTCTGTTTCTATGCCTAGTGATTTTATTCCTAAGAGTTTTAGCTTTTAGAAGCACTGTTACTAATGCAGAAAATACAATTTATCTGTCATGCTTTTCAATTATTGTTATTAGTTAAGAAAGTCAGAAACCCTAAATCCTAAATATTTATTAAAATTAGAAAATAAAAAGGTACATCTTTGTCCATCAGAGTATTTATTCAATGCCTATCTGAAAGACATTTTAAATAAAATAAATCAAATTTACAAAAACCATACCTTTAAATTACTTATAATGTTAGGTAACATTGAAATGAAGAATGCAAATTCTGTGAGGTTAATATAATGCACTTAATATTTATGTATTATTAATAACACTCAGGTTCTACTCAGTATAAGTGCAGAGTTTATATTCCATGCAAATGAAGGATATGAGTTCCATGAAGTGAGTGTTGTAAGTTTGAATAAGTAGGAAAGTTTTATACCTTCTACTCTTTTAGCATACCTTAGTTCTGGAAGATACACTTATACTAAAAATAAATTGATTCATTGTTGTTAATGACACTTGCACCTGTATTTATCAAATGCTGCCATTCGTCTCCTTACCTCTCCTCTCCCTCTGCTCTGACTCCTTCTCTTGATCCATCATGCTGAAGTGTGAACCAGAACAGCCCAAACTGAAAGTCTAGCTAAGCAGGAAAGTTTTAGAATAGTGCTTGTCAAGTTTTAGTGTATGAGACCACAGTGATAAATACATTTTACATTGAGATTCATTAAATATGGACATATATAGGGCTTCCCTGGTGGCGCAGTGGTTGAGAGTTCGCCTGCTGATGCAGGGGACGCGGGTTCGTGCCCTGGTCCGGGAGGATCCCGCATGCTGCGGAGTGGCTGGGCCCGTGGGCCATGGCCGCTGGGCCTGCGCGTCCAGAGCCTGTGCTCTGCAACAGGAGAGGCCACAGCAGTGAGAGGCCCGTGTACCGCAAAAAA